ACCAGGCATTCTTAGGTTCACACTGCGAGTGGGAAGGACGATTATTGTTTTTGCACTAATTCAGACGTGTAATTGCTGGAGAATGTCCCTTTCGTACCTTGTCAGCTATCGTTCAGTAATATCCAAGACCACGTGGATATCTTTAAACGCAGTAGTATGTTTATATAATCGGAAAAGTCAACTGCCACGCTAATGTGCCGACAAGCCAGTCGAGAGCATCGCACTGGTTTACAGTGCAGCATCGGATATGCATTGTGAAGTCTAGTAGCGCAATGACTGTGTCGTATATAGTATGTAGCCAACTGTGGCTGCAACTACATACTACACAGTGTGGTCGCGTATCTGGCTCGCATACTCAGCCGTGCCACTGTACCCAGGAAACATTGAATGGGTTGAATGGGTCTGAAATCCCTTACGATACGAACACTGCTTGTGTATCTCTTGGAACTGTTAGTATTGCTTAATAAGCTGCACTTAAGTCTCGCATAGTCGGACCGGGACTCGTTACGAAATGTTATTCGAACGGACGTCGTTGATTATCAGGCTATATTGGGTTTAGGCACAATCATTCAGATCGATAACTGATTTTTCTTCATTGTCATTGTAGTAATGTCTTCACATCGTGCACTCACTTAACTATTTACAAGTGTTTATAATCAACAAAACAAACAGCCGAGACGGAAATCAACTGTAAGGAGTTCACAAATTCAGATGACGTTTTGGCTAAGAATGTGCACATGTACGCGCCACTCTCGGCGGAGGAGACGAAGAGAAGGATATCTCTCAGTAGGAAAGATGCTCACAAAGGTAAGTCATGTCCATAAGACGAAGTGAAGGATATCTCTCAGTAAGAAGGATGCTCACAAATGTAAGTCATGTCCATAAGACGAAGTGAAGGATATCTTTCAGTATGGAGGATGCTCACAAATGTAAGTTATGTCTATACCAAGCGCTTCAGCGTGGCAAGCGATGTTCATGACATCAAGTAGGGTATGTATGGTACCGTTAAGTATTTGCACTCCAACCGGTCATCTAATAGTAAAAGTGCCTATTTGAATACACAGGGGTCGCGCGTAGCTGATGAACTTTTCCACCCAGGATCATAGTACCACAAGGTCTTAAAGTGACACATTCCCGACTAACTATAAATGATGCTGGACAGTGCCCTATTGAACCTACACCCAGGATCATAGTACCACAAGGTCTTAAAGTGACACATTCCCGACTAACTATAAATGATGCTGGACAGTGCCCTATTGAACCTACACCCAGCGTACTTGGACCGCATTAGTTCCCAATCTGCATTCAAACTCAGTCATATTACTACATCCATTGTGTTTCACAGGCATAGATGAAGACAGGTCTGTAGTCGCGGATATGCTCATTCGGATCGCTTTCACACCGGACGTTTGTGTAGAGCGAGAGCCTGACTTGGTAAGACATAGCCTGGCTCCACCGTATCTCTTCATACTCAGTCATTGACCACCGCGAATCGTATAGTGGTTACTTGTACAATTAGTATCGACTATAGCCGATACGCGTATGATGTGTCGCATATTTTGATACGTTGATTGGATCTTCAGTTGCCGTCGTCTGTGCCTGTGTTAATAGTACCGGCCTTCTGATTTGCAATCCCACTACAACGCCGCTGATATAGTGTGTCGATTGTTGCAGTCTACAATGAACCTGAGATCTGTTGATAAGTGTGTTTCTCCTTTCGTTTCAGCAAATGAAAACTCGGAAAGGCAAACTTCTGAGATACAAGACACGGCACGACACCAATAAATTCCTCGTCGAGTGCGGTGCAGGGGCAATCCGTGACATTGTGCAGGTATGTAGACTTCTATATCCTTGGTAAGTAGCCTTCTATATTTTTGATAAGCATCTTCTATATCCTTGGTAAGTAGCTTTCTATATTCTTGATAGGTAGCTTTCTATATTCTTTGTAGATAGCCTTCTATATTTTTGGTAAGTAGCCTCAATATCCTTGGTAGGTAACCTTCTATATTCTTGGTAGGTAGCCCACTATATCCTTTGTAGGTAGCCTTTGTATTCTTGGTAGGTAGCCTTCAATATCCTTGGTAGGTAACCTTCTATATCCTTGGTAGGTGGCCCTCTATATTCTTGGTAGGAAGCCTTCTATATCATCTGTATAATGCCTTCTAAATTCTTGGTAAGCAGCTTCTATATCTTTGATAGGCAGCCTTCTATGTCCTTGGTAGGTAGCCTTCTATATCCTTGGTAGGTAGCCTTCTATATCATCTGTAGGTTGCCTTCTGTATCCTTGATAGGTAGCCTTCTATATTCTTGATAGGTAGCCTTCTATATTCTTGGTAGGTAGCCTTCTATATCATTTATAGGTTGCCTTCTATATCCTTTGTAGGTAGCCTTTGTATTCTTGGTAGGTAGCTTACATATCTTTGGTAGGTAGCCATCTGTATCCTTGGTAGGTAGCCTTCAATATCCTTGGTAGGTAGCCTTCTATATCCTTGGTAGGTGGCCCTCTATATTCTTGGTAGGAAGCCTTCTATATCATCTGTATAATGCCTTCTAAATTCTTGGTAAGCAGCTTCTATATCATCTGTATAATGCCTTCTAAATTCTTGGTAAGCAGCTTCTATATCCTTGGTAGGTAG